AGTTGTGCCTTCAAGTTTCATGCAAGTCCCAAGTTACTGGGGTGATGGGGGTGGTGGGGGGAACAAATCAATCAAGTCAAGTTACATTACCACAAAATTCCAGTTGTGTGAGGAATCAAAGGCACTTTAAAAAGGTATCTGGTACCTTTGACCAATCTCTTTCAGTTCCTGGCAGGCGTAACACAACCAACAGTGCATCAACAAGCAATGAAATAGGACAAAACAAGCACCAATGACTTAGCTCCATCGAATGCAACTTGGCTCGCGTTAGCACGACTGCGCAAGGTGCTTTGTATCGTATTAACTCTAAACTGAGAGTGTGACTGTGAGGAACACAGGGCTCCCTTTCTTTGAATCTTCATATGATGTGACCCATCAGCCCACAACAGTTTAAACAACCCCTGATTGGTCTGCGGGTCATTTGGTACTGGGCCGCACAGAAAGAATAAATAACTTACATTACTTCAGTTTCATTCATTTCGGAATCTCAAAGATGTTTTATTTCAGAATCTGAAAGATATTTTATTTTCAAAAAATTACTGGATTCTCTGTGACATCCTACAGTATGTCACATGATAGGTTACTGCTAAAATGAAACCGAGGAGCTAGCAAAATGAGTAAAAAACAAACGTCTTTGCAAAGTTTCTTTGGGAAGGGAAAAAGGCCCAGCCAGGAGACAGAAGAGGAGCCAACGACTTTCAAGAAAAAGAAGATTACATTTCATAAACAGTATTAGGATTTCCGACATAAAAATACAGATTTATCTCAATGTAAGATTCCCATGCACCAAGCCCACTCTGCATAATATGCGGTGATGGTAAGTCGTATTTTTCATGCACTTTATGTTTGTGGTGTATCTTATTTTGAAGGCACATTGAAACGTTAACATAGCGACCAGAGGGTGTTGCGGCCAGATAGGACGTTCCTTATGTCATGATTCGTGTTTATTATTGTGTTTAGAAAATACCACAGTTTTCATGCAGGTCATATCATATTATTTTGTTGAATTTAAAGGCCGGTCCCTGAAAATATTGTCTGACATTAAACCGGTCCGTGAGGCAAAAAAGGTTGGGGACCGCTGGGTTAAACGATTTCAAAAACCATGCCATCGCTAATCCACGACTGAATTTTTTAAGCATGATTTTTTTTTTTTTTTTAGGGGAAATGACCTCAATGATGACCGCCTGTTTCGAGAAGTGGTTCACATGTCGGTGTGTGATTAATGACAGGGAAAAGAGGGTAATGGACCCGTGAAAATGTTGGGTTACGTGTCCTGCTGGAACTTGGACAATTTCCCGAGATAAATATGATGGTTTATTCATGGGGTGTGCTAAAAAAATAAAGGAACATATAATAATAATAATAATAATAATTAATACATGTAATTTTTAAAGTGTTCCCATACATACCATGTTCAGTGTGACATCACGTTGAGTGGATCTAACAAAATAACAAATCACAGATCGTGTTCCCGTATGCCATAAAATATGTTACGACCGGTAGTTGTAACTGGTCCAACTCTGATACTGGTAGTAACATATTTCACAACTTTCTACAAAGGCCAAAATGATGAATCGGCCTGCTGATTAAATCAGATGATTATTGCCCTGACGACAATGGCAAAAATCAACAGCAAACTGGCCGATTTTTGCCGACTCTTTTTCCTTTTATGTGTCCTAACAATTATATTGTTGTCGACAGATAATGATGTCATCAATTATTAGACAAATAATTATCGCATAACATTGTTCAAGAGATGTAAACCATCTCATACCACCGTTTCGTTCAATGTTTGTACATATTTTAATTAAATGCAGTCATTGAATTAATCTGTTCATCAATAAAGACATGAACCTTTCCAAGCAATGCTGTGGTGAGCATTGCAAATCATGTAGAGTTTTACACATAACCTAAAGTCACGGTTACAAAACATCCATCCATCCATTTTCTTATCCACCTTATACTCACAAGGGTCTCGGGGCATGCTGGAGCCAATCCCAGCTGTCACCGGGCAGTAGGCGGGGCACACCCTGAACCGGTTGCCAGTAATCGCAGGGCACACATAGAAGAACAACCATTTGCATTCACAATCACATGGAAAGACAATTTAGAACAGGGTGCCGAACATACGGCCCGCGGGCCGGAACCGGCCCCCAAGGAGGTTTGATCAGGCCCGCAGGATCATTTAAAGGTGAAAAAAATGCATAAAAGAGGTGGAATGAATATTTTTAATAAGGTACAATTCGTGGAGTATCCGCTAGGGGATGCACTGTTTTGATCAGAGTAGACGACAACATTGTTTGGATCAGAGAAGAAGACAACAGCAGTCTCAGTCTGTCACTGAGACAGACCCAACACAGCAGACGCTATCAAGGACATATGAATATTTTATTCTTTACACATTTAATAGCTCTCTCCTTAGTTTGTAAGGTGCAGGCAGGGATTAAATTTTGATTTTATATGCACATGTGTAAATGGTTTAAAAATTCCTTTCTTCATAAATCTCGTTTAATGTTAAAGTGCATTACTATATTTTTCAATACCAATTACTTGTTACAGTTTTGTGCCTTTGTACAATCAGTGGAATCAGTTGCAATGCATATATGTGAATGATAAAAGTACATTGCACATTTGTCTAAGGACATCTAAGGTGCTTCATGAAATGTTTTGCAAAAGAAACGTTCATTAAATTTCACAATTTTCCTAATGTTCTTGTGCTTCTTTAGACCAAAACAAAGGAAAGACATTATTTTGGTTATTTATAGCCGAGTATGGTATAATTTTAATGGTCCGGCCGTATGTGGCCCACAATGTGAAATGAGTTTGATACCCCTGATATAGAGTGTTCCCGGATACAAAACAGGACAACATAAAATCAAACAAATGTGAACATGAAACACATACAGATACTATATATGACAAGGATTAACATTCCTTATGACTTAAATAATTCAATGACTTGCGCTATGCAATACAGTTTGGGAACCGAGAGGATTTACCGTCATATGAACAATAGATAGATATGACATGCCTATGCCTACAGCTATGTTGAAGCGAGTAAGGGCAACTTTTTGCCACATTCCATGTTTGTGGGTGCCTCGTAAACAAAAATAGCAATAATGCATGTTGGGTGTTGAAGCTTTGGCAATGACAAAAAAAGTAAGAATTATGAAAATCGGCTGAAAAATTTGCAAGTTATGACTCAATTCCAATGCACATGCATTGCCTTTAAACATACATTGCCACCGCCAATGTCGCTGAGATAGGCTGCTACTGTGTGTTGTATCATGGTAGGTGAAGGGCGGTTGCTTTTGTGACAAGATAATAGCTTGCCGATCATTGACGTGACAGAAAGTGGGTCACATTTGCATTGTACTTAGTACTTAGGTCTGGGCTTGTACAGCTGCATACAAAGCTGATATACAGTATTTGCAGGGGACCATGCTTTATTCTGTTTTACTTTTTGCCATATAATTGAAGAGCATTTGTTTTGCCAACCACTATATGCCGCTGGCATGGACAGAAAAACAAAAGAATAATTTAAATAACACTTTGTAATACAATAACAATAATGGTGAATTAATAAGTAATCATCATGCTGTGAACATGTATTTTGGATACATAACTGAAATTTTGAATAGTCAATGTATATCGCACCAAAAACCATGAGCAAAAAACTGATAAACAAATCAAACCCGTAATACACACGTGCACGCACACCCACATTATACAGTAGATAGATAGATAGATATATAGATAGATGCACACACACACACACACACACACGCAGCATAGCAGCCTCATTTAGCGCAAAGAAGCTTGAGGAATCTTTCAGTGGCGTTCGCACACAACGTCTGCAGCAAGAACTGTAGTAAATATTTGATGGCTTCAGTCACCTCGCATCTAATCCATTCAATTGAAGCGTGTGTTAAGAACAAGCGGGGGCTGACTGAGCAAGAGAAGCCCCCTCTACACAACAAAGTGCTGCAAGCACTGTGATGGAAACGGCTGTTATGTTGGGCACGTAGATCGGTTCATGGGTAAACAAACACAGTGCTCGATATATGTATAAAACAATGAAAGTGCATCCTCGTAATTTCAAATTTCAACTTAGTTTGAGTTGAACCAAAACAGTCTTTGATCTCAATCATTCAGTTTGCTTGAGGATAAAATTTCTCACGTTGCCAACGCGGAGTCGTTGTAATTCTGTACTATGTAAAGTATGTAGAAAGTGAGCGGAGAAACTCTTAAGAATAATCAATTCTCGCATTCTTACGCTTTTCCGCGTTGGCCGTTGAATGAACCGAGTGCTCCGCAACGGAGGGCGGGAGTAAGATGAGAAGAGGGGCGGGGGGAGAGCCTTTGCTGAGCTCCTTTGTCCCTTGCCAGCGCCTTTCTGCCCCACAATGACAGCAGGTAAAGCGGCACGAGAAGCAGAACCCGCCACCCGCACAACATATTTCCCACTTCGTTTTTTCGACGCAATATTAACATGGACTCAACTCGCTAACTTCCTTGTGAAATTCCCGGGCGCGTGTGGTCGACCATGCCACAAACAGGGTCAGTCGCAGTCTGACATAAGGTACCGTGGAACTACAACCTTCCGCTTTATGTTCAGCCAAGACTTATTCCACTCTCTGGCAGAGAATACAAACAAAAGGAACGAAGCAAACGCCATTTGGAGCTCCTGGGTTGCTAGCACGGAGGCTCACGGGAACCAGTTTTGATTAAAAACACCTCATGCCGCTGTAATATCAGCATCCCTGCTAACCACAACCCAACAGTGGCAAAAACACACAAGCCGCACAAGGAACAACAACGCTGTGGTTTAACCGACGAGAGGATTGCTTCGACAAAAACAAGTTAAGGAAGCAAGCAAACAGACGTCAATTCGCTGCTCCAGCACGCCGCTTTTCTTTTCTTTTTCTTTTTTTTTTTTTTTTTACGCTAACAACACGTAGTGCTCGCGCATTGTGAATGTAACGTAGCAACAAACTCACCCTTTTGCTGCTCGCCCACGGTTGGTTCTCAGAAATAAAAGTACGTCTGCATGATGGTTAATCCACACTTGTCCTCGAATAACAAAAATCGCTATTTTTATGGGGTAAAAGCATCAATCGGCGCGTCGTGGACGGCGTTCTGTTCGTGTTAGGATGTAACGCCTTTTCTCTTCCAAGGGCTGCATTGTTGACATTGGTTTGCTGACGTCATGCTAGCCTCTCATTCACAAGGACCAAACGCCCCCCCCCGCCCCCCACCTCCGCACCGAAGATGATACTGCCTGCCTGCCTGCCTTTCTTGCTCTCACAAATGCACACGCTTTCACTCAGACATCACATTGTACAGTTATTGAGTCCATGTGAAGACAGACCTCGTAAAAGGGCCGCCGCTCCTGACAGGCACATCACTGCGTAGGGTACCACATGGTCTGAGAGAACCACAACGTCTTTTTTAAGCAGCATGCGCACAAATGTTACGTTTGTGCTATTGTTCATACAATAAACTGCCCAAGTAAATTAAAAACATCAATCAGTTTTCATTCGCCTTGCTGTCTCCTCTCACGGTGAAGTGACGTCACAACGCTGTTTACCGGGGTGCTTGTGCGAAGTAACTCTCGGACCTGCCTCCTCCTTGATATCAGTTTCTGTAGGAATATTTTAAGGCCAATACATATATGGAGTGATATATTTTGGAATGACATTCACAGAAATATTAACACCATGGCATGAACAGTGCCCTGTGATTGGCTGGCAACCAGTTCAGGGTGTCTCCCACCTACAGCCCGAAGACAGCTGGGTGAGGCGCCGGCACATCCGCTACCCTCGTAGGATAAAGTGGTTCAGATAATGGATTGATTGATGGATGGATGGATGGCATGAAAAGGCATTAAGAATCAGGTGCTGAGGAACGCCCCCCCCCCACCCCCCAAATAAAAAAGAACATGAACGAGGCCTGTGAGCCAGGGCCGGCCCAAGCAAATGTGGTGCCCTAGGCCAGATTTTATTTGATGCCCCCCACTGTCGATGATATACATAAACTTATAAAATTTTAAAAAACACATGCACAAAAACAATGTAATCAAAACAATGTGGGACAACAATATCATTGCAGTCTTTAGGACGAGAGGTATACCACACAACCAGCTTTCTGTACCGCCCAGACAGAGACAAAAAAGGAACAGGAGGCTTGGACAATTGGGAGCAAGAAAGTTGTAGTATCTTGTGCGTGGACTGAATTGTTTAACTGTGAGCCAAGATAACATTTAGCAGGCAACACAACTACGGTGAGTCACGAGATTGACTGGCGATGTGTGAACTTTCCCCCTGTCAGAGGACGATCTCTTACTCTACAAATATTCAAATAATCGATCTCTTACTCTACAAATATTCAAATAATCAACCATCTGTCCGAATACAACCCACAACATGTTTTAAGGTAAAATAGTTACCAATTACTCTGTACCTGAATATCGCCTGAGTCACAATGACAATTTTTGGTTTTTCAAGTCGGGACGAGCGGCATACGCAGTTCGCGACTATCCTTCTTTATGTACAAGTCATATCCTCCCTTCACTTCCTGGTCTGATTCTCATGCGCGCTATATGTTCCCGCGTACAGAAATATAAAAGATGTAAATGTTTATACAGTCTTGTTTAGCTTAGATTTCGTTACAAAAGACAGGCTTTAATTTGTTATCATAAATCACCCCTCCTCCTGAGTCCTCACAAATAAAATATGAAATTTTGGGTTTGCTTCGGGCTCGGGCCTGCAAATCAAGTTAATTATCGGGCTCGGGCCGGGTCGGGATTTAATACCCGCGGGCCGGGTCGGGTAGGCTGGATTTTTTGGCCCGATCTTACCTATAGTGTGAAGTCACCCTGATGGACAAACACATTCGGTCTGAACACAGATGCTGAGCAAGTGTCAGAGTGAATGCTCGTTTTTTTTTCAATACAGTAATTTCAATCGGATCTCTGCGGGGGACCGTGATGACTCGCTGTGATTGGCTAAGAAGCAGGAACCATATGATGTGACTTCACTTTGTTCGGACAACACAAAACTCCAATCTTTATTTGAGATTTTATGTACCGGTATGTATACAGTAATCCCTCGTTTATCGCGGTTAATGGGGACCAAAACCACCCGCGATAAACGAAAATCCGCGAAGTAGCGACTACTTAACATATACAGCAAAACCATAATTTTTTTTTTTAAGTCCGCAAAAAGTCCGCAAACGGTCCGCGAGAAGCTGCAAAACAACAGCGAGTCACATAGAGCAACGTATAAAGTACTGTACTCCATGTATATATATATATATATGTTTTTTTATATGTTTGAAAAAATCCGCGATGCACTGAAGCCACGATAAACGAACGGGATCACTGTAGTTATTATTTGAGATTTTGTGTCTGTATATTTATTTGCAGATCAACCTTTATGGGTGTGATTTTCTGTTAAGTCCTGGTGAAATTATTTATATTCATGACTGTCTCGTGTGTTTATTTGCAGGGCTGAATACAAGCAACCCATTTGCACTGATGATATATGGAAATGCTGTGTGCTTCCTGTACAGTAGGTGGCAGTACACCAAAGAGCTGTAATCTGCTAATGAAACTAGAAGAAGAAGAAGACAAAGACGAAGGAGAAGACAATGACAGGCATTTACAGAGGTAGGAGTACACTACTTGGATTGTATTGTATTTTACCCGAGTCCCAGCGGACCGCTCAGTCCGTGACTGATGGGTGCACATTTTTTGACGACTGACAGAAACATGCCCCGTCTGTCTCGTGTGTTTGTTTGCGGACCTGAATACAAGCAGGGTTGCTTCCATTGACTATATTTGGAAATGCTTTGTGCTTCTTGTACATTCTGTGGTGGTATGCACCAAAGAGCTGTTATCTACCAATGAAGCAACAAGAAGAAGAAGACGGCTCTGACAATTTACAGACAGGAGTAGGAGCGTGAGCTACTTGTTTTGAATGTTACCATTGCCTACAATGTGGCATGGGATTCTGGTTAAGTTACATTTTAAAGTAAACGTTTTGCCCGTTTAGGAGCTAAAACAGTGGCAGGCAGCCACCAGCGTGCTCCCCCTGTACTTATCAGTTTAATAGATTGGAAAATAAGTGGATGTGAAATGTATGTGAGTGTGTGTGTGTGTGTGTGTGTGTGTGTGTGTGTATAGCTCTTTGTGTAGGCACTGTACAATGTAGATGCACTGATAGATAGTGCACTCCATTTACCATTTTCATCACAATGGATTTTTCATATGCTAAACAAGTGGTTCTCAACCTGGGTTCAATTGAACCCCACGAGTTTAGTGGATCGGTCTCAGGGGTTCGACGCAGCCTTTGCCTTGGAGGTGAAAACACCTGGCTCAACATGTCAATTAGTTATGACACGCCCACGGCAGATGATCACATTACATCGCTTGTCCAATCAGTGCTGCGGTAAATTTAGTTCGCTCAGTCGTCAATGAGTGACTGTCGTGATAGTACATCGGGTGATTTTTTTTTTTTTTTAGAATTTTGGATTCTAAAAATAATTTTAGAATTATTTTTAGAATAAAAAAAAAAAAAAAATTTGGTCTGATGAATATTTACAACATGGATTCACATGCATCATGGAAAGTGATGGGAGTCAGTGTCCTATCTGCATGATTTGTCATGCCAAGTTGAGCAACTCCCAACTGAAGGAACACTTCTTGAATCATATTTTTATTTTTCACTAATGAAGGGTTCGGTGAATGTGCATATGAACTGGTTGGATTCGGTACCTTAAGAACCACTCTGTTAGACTATGATGTATTATTTTTTGTGGGGGGGTGGGGGTTAGACTGACAGACTGATGATCGACGGACTGACGGACCATTGAAATTTACTGACACAAACAATGACCGAAGTACAGTTAAAATGACATGAATGACGGACCGACTGACGATTGCAAATTGGTTTGGCTTGAAAAAATAACGGACTGATGATGACGGGCAGGTGCCGTGCATGTGAATCTTAAGATGCAGTTGGGACAAGAAGGGCTTATTGTTCAAGAGCCAGACTGCTTTGTGGAAAAAGGTGAAAAGTGTTAAAGGAAAACTTCAAGAGGCCGTCAAATAGTGTGCCTACGTATCTGCACTCCTCCACAGGCTTACCCGGGATGGTGGTCGTGATTGCCACTGGCAGTTGTCTCTGCTAGTTGGAAAATGTAACAATCAGCTCTTTGGTCTTGGTTGAGTTCAGCTAGAGAGAAGCACCCTCACACCAGGTGATGAAACCCCCGCAGAACAGAGCAATGGTGTAGATTCGGGGCAGGGCGCAGTGAACACAGTGCTGTGACGTCAGTAAATTTTGTCAGATGGCAATTTGGACCTGCACTCATCAATGGAAATAATATTAAGCAGAGGCGATAACAACCATCTCTGTGGGGAGACCGTGGAGAATGTAGGAAAAGGAGCCATTAACAAGCACCCTCTGTCACTTGTTGGTTTAAAAGTTAGTAATCCACATGATGAGCTGGTGATCGAGATTGAAGCAAGTTAATAACTCGCCGCAAGGATGTGTGGCTGCATGGTGTTAAATGCAGAAGACAAGTCCAAAAACAGGAATCTGGTGGGGGTCTCGTGGGTCTCTTGATGTTTGGATTAGTCTCCAACTTGAATATCTTTGCATCGTCTCCTCCCCTGGTGGTCTTGTAGGTGAACTGCAGAGTATCCATCAAGGGCTCAACAGACTGGGTGATGGAGTTTTTGACAATCCTCTCCATTGCCTTCATTACCAAAGAGGTCAAGGCCACAAGCCTAAGATCATTTGATGAGGGCCTTGGGAATAGAAATAATTGTGAAATATTTACCGCAGGTCATGGAGGTCTGGAACTGGAGAATTTGTGCGGGGAAAACGTCCAAGGAGACATACCACAGCTTCGTTTCAAAGACATGTGTAAGAGGGACTTAAATGCCTTGAACATCGGCCAGACCAATGAAGCAGCAGCCCTCGAACGGTTAACCTGGCGATAGACTGCAGAAAGGCCTCTCCAAGTTCGAAGGGACAAATGCTCAGCAGTATGAGGCAAGAAGAACAAAAAGGGCTGCAGTACAGGCAGACAGACCAGCCTCAAACTACATCTCTGTCCTCTGCAACAGGGGTTGTTATTGTACGGTTTTTAAAAATTGGCTTAGTTGAGCCCCCGCCAAGAAAGTTTTAACAAAGCGGTCCCGGTTTTACGTTTCATCAAGAAAAGTTGGAAGTGGATGTTAAAAGCCCAAGACCTATAAAAAAGTCACTTGGAGCTATATGCTAAACATCTATCCATCCATCCATCCATCCATCCATCCATCCATCCATCCATCCATCCATCCATCCATCCATCCATCCTTCCAACCATTTTCGAATCCACTTCTCATGAGGGTCGCGGGCATGCTAGAGCAACTTCGGCCAGTAGGCGGGGGGCACCCGAAACTGGTTGGCAGCCAATCACAAGGCACACAGAGACGAACAAACATTCGCACTC